GAAGAGTAAGAGGCACACCGATTTTACCTTGGTTCACCACAACTTGTGGCTAATCCAGCCTCCCGAGAGACTCTCTCGAGCTACACTACTATCTTGTTAAGCTTAACGGTGCTTAACAAACCCGTACAACTTGAGAGTTCGAGTCACACGAACCTCAACGAACCCTCGAAGGAAACAACCCTTCCTTCGAACAACAAGAGAAATATTTTCTCTTGTCAAGTGTCTAAGAACACTAAAAACACTCAAGAACAATACTCTCTTTTAGAGTGGATAATTGAGTAACTAAGAATGCTCAAGAACACAACACAAGCTTCACAAAAAATGGCTCTCAAAAAGCTAAAAATAAAGGATGAATGATTTGCAATGAAAGAGTAGGAGTTGTGAAGTTATGTGATATGTAAAACAGACCCAAACACCCCATTTTATAGTAGAAAAATAGGCTCAAACGGACCAAAACATTTAAGGGGTGATTGGCACAATTTGTGGGATTTGATTAAATTTGGATCTGCTGAAATTCACCCAGACATCGCTGTCCTAGGCTTAGACATCGCTGTTCTAGGCTTGGGTTTTGAAAATTGGGAAGCAACGGTCATGCTAACAGCGATGTCCAGTACTCCTACATCGCTGTTTTGGCTGTTGACTTCCAAACAAGGAAAGTTTTAGCCTTAAATTCCTGCCAACGGTCAGGTCCCTACATCGATGTTCAATACTTGAACATCGCTGTTTAGGTCTGACTTTGAAGGTAGAGTTTTGGCCTGACAGCGCTGTTGCTGGGTCAACATCGCTGTCCAAAAACTTTCTGCCAATGCACTTTATTTTTGGCTTAGGTTGGACAACAATGTAGGGAAGGCTACATCGCTGTTCCAGATGTTTCTGGAAACCCAACCTTGGCTCAACAGCGATGTCTAATATCCAACATCGTTGTTGGAAGACTTAACGCCAAACCATGGTTTTCAGCTACCCAAGCCAGAAAGCGCTGTTGGTTACACCAACATCGTTGTTGGGCTGATTTAGCCAGGCCCATGGTTGGTTTAGTCATGCCGTTAGCCGATTTAAAAAATGTAAGTTCTCCAAAATAAAAACCAAGTATCGAAAACATTTTTTTATTGCATTTTGCTAAGAAATCAAGTAAAAAATCTCAAAAACCACGTCATTTAATTGAAAACCATGGCTAACCAAGTTTGAGCCGTTTCGCATGGTTTTCACTAAATGACCAAAAACAGAAGGTGGTTTTTGAAGCGTTTTTGTTGGAGAACTATTTAAATATGCCTAGAAGTAAAAACCAATCATAAAAAGTTGAAAACCACTTGGTTGGTTTGGTCGCCAAAAACCAACACCGAAAACCGAAAGCCAAACGCCGGTTTCTGAAAGCCGAACGCTGGATGGCTTGGTTTTTGATTTGGGCGAACTCCAAGTGCATGGTGTCAAAGGTTCATGTTAAACCGAGCCGTCATTCGACCGATACTCATGAAAACGCCCTATGAACTATACAAAGGGAGAAAGCCAAACCTTTCCCATCTTCGAGTCTTTGGTTGCAAATGTTTTATTCATAACAATGGTAAAGACAATTTAGGCAAATTTGATGCTAAGTCGGATGAAGGAATTTTTCTGGGTTACTCATTACGTAGCAAGGCCTATAGAGTCTTCAATAAACGTACCTTGACTATCGAGGAGTCTCCTCACATTGTATTTTCCGAAGATAACCCTCGCTTGGCGAGAAAGGATACTTGTGATGATCTTGCAGATTCATTAGAGAAAATACACGTTGATGACGATGAGGAGAACACGGGAATTTACACCAACACACAGCCACAAACTGAGGAAATACCTCAAGAAGCTAACCAAGGTGATGAAGAAAGACAAGAGGAAGAAGAAGAACAAGCGGAACACGAAGAAGAAGAAGAAGCAACCG